CCCAGGTGCTGAGCCAGCAAGGCTTGTGCTGCGGCAGCCCTGGTGCTCCCCGGGCGCAGGCGCCGAACCGGAGAAGAGAAAGCCAGATGGCTCAAAGCAAGACGGAACCTGAGGCACAAAGGCTCTCCACAGACAGCATGCCGTCGCGCAAACGCCACATGGAACCACAACAAGACAAGCAAGCACAGCCGACGCCCACCAAGACCCAGCCCCGCACACAGACAACGCAAGTAGCACAGGCAGAGCCTGCAGCGAAGCGTGCAAAACACGTGTCGGTGAGCAGCCAAGCCAGGACAGCGCCGCCGCCGCTACGAAACTCGCAGGCAAAGCCGCAACAAGAGACGCAAGCCACCCCGACAGCCGCGCAGACGACACTCGCACCGCCGGCAAAGTTGGCTGGACAGACGGCCGCCGAGGACATGTTCCATTATGCGTGTCCTTTTTGTGAGGTGTCTGTGAGCAGCACTGTGCGCACAGGCCAAGTAGATCACCGCCGTGTGTGCGGGAAGTTTTTTCGTGTCAAAGACGGACACGTTGCCGCCAAGAACTTAGTCTATACGTGTCCATTTTGCAACGGAACTGTGGCGAGTAACGTGAGGACAGGGCAGATAGATCACCGAACCGTGTGCGGCAACCAATTCTATGTGAAAGAAGGCACGGCTAGCACGCAGACGCGGCAGCATCCGCACACATGCCCAGCGTGCCAGACTGTGGTCTGGTCATCACAGTTGTTTGGGCGCGTTCGGTGCCAACACAACACGCCAGCGGGAAAACCATGCCCGAAAAACACGTGGCAAGTTCCAGAGCGCAAGCACGAAACAAAGAAATAGAGTATAGACCAATCATCCGGAAGCCACCTAACCACCGGGCAAACGGGAGCCGCGCAAGGCTGTGTTGCAGGACTAGGCCAAAGGTGCCGGGAAGGGTTTGAAGGTGCCTGGAGGACCCCAAAGAAACGAGGTGCAGGCCGAGGTGGCAGGTTCCAGAGGTCAGTTCTAAGGCTGCAGTGCACGGTTCCAGAGGCTCCCTCCCCAGGCTCCCGCCTGACGCAGGCAAGGCTGCGATACAGGAGTAGGCCAAAGGCGCTGGGAAGGGTTTGAAGCCGGGCCAAAATGCCTAACGTTGCTTTCGGAAGCGCATAAGAACAGAAGAGGCAGGCCTGGAACAGGCGAAGAGAAGAGAGAGGCCTGCCAGCTGCCGAGAACGGTTTGGGGGCGGTCCAAAATGCCTAACGTTGCTGGCTGGCCTGCCAGCTGCTGAGAAGGGTTTGGGGGCGGTCCACAATGCCTAACGTTGCTTTCGGAAGCCCATAAGAAGAGAAGAGGCAGGCCTGGGACAGGCCAAGAGAAGAGGCAGGCTTGCCAGCTGCCGAGAAGGGTTTGAGGGTGGTCCAAGTCCTAACGTCGCTTTCGGATGCCCAGAAGAAGAGAAGAGGCAGGCCTGCCAGCTGCCGAGAAGCGTTTGAGGGCGGTCCAAAATGTGCCTAACATCGCTTTCGGAAGCCCATAAGAAGAGAAAGGCAGGCCTGCCAGCTGCCGAGAAGGGTTTGAGGGCTGCCGAGGTGGCAGGTTCCAGAGGCTCAGTTCTACCTGGACATGCGAAAGTGTTCCTTTTTTTTTGGTTTTCGCAAGCGACCAGAAAAAATTGGTTAAGCCAATTCCGTGTTTTTGGCGACGACCAGAAAGGCGCGATTCTTGCCTTTTTGGAACCAATCCTTGGTTCCAAGAAAATTGTGAACAGACAAGCTTGCGCCGGCACTGAGTCTTTCTACAAAGTTGGCAAATTCGGGTTCCAAGAAGTGTATAAGAGATGAACCACTTTGGGCCCTGGTTTTTGAACATGCGCGTGCGCAAGTCTTGGGTTTGCGTTCCTCGAGCCATCGTTTAAAAAAAACATAACCAAAATGTGAAAAACCAAATGTGCTTATGTGTGTCAACATGTTTTCCATTGGGCCCCTCAACAAACGAAGGCAGACTATACGGTTTCACACGTGTTTTATTCACACCTCTCCACACGTCTTTGTGCATGGCGATATATAGGCAAATGAACCACGAGACAGTTCCACATGCCAAAACACACCTCCGCACACAATAAACAACACATTTTTTCCGCCCGAACTTTGTCCCATTCAAGTTTCACGGCGATCAACCATTTTTGGGCCGATCGTTTTGCCACATTGGCAGGGTGAACTGTTCTGCCTATGCAGCAAGTTTTTCCCACCCAGTCTTCTGCAGCTTGAGTAGCAAAAATGGCTGGATTTAAAATTTCATCCGCGCCGCCACACGAAAGAAGCTGAACTTGCATGTCCAGCATTATATGAGCTATGTAATGAAACTTTGGTGTCAAATTGAAGAAGTGCAACTTGCAATCGTAGCAAGTTTTGGCGCACACATATGTTCTTTCCAAGTAAAGGTTCAGGAAAGAAACGCACTTCAACCCCTGCGCTATTGACAGGAATGGTTTCTTCACTGAAAAGATCAGCACCAAAAAATCCTGCACTGCTTTGGCCCCCGAGTAAGCAGCCATCTCAAGCGCATCCATTTCAGCACTTCGGTTTGCCAGAACGTCAACCAAGAATCCAAGAATGAGGCGTGTGTCAGAGCCCTTGAAACTTGCTTCCGGGTACTTGTTCAACGAGGTCCACGAAAGGTTGTCTCTGGTGAAATGTTTCACCATTGGGTTTTCACCCAGATCCTTGCAAAAGGCCGCAAAGGCAGTGTAAGCTGCAGCCAGCTTGTCTGGAATATTCCCACAGCCCTTAGCTGATCACAAAGCAGAAAAATATCTACGCTGGAGAACGCTGGAGAAACGCAAAACCCCAAATTAAAGGGAAACCGTCACATCTCGCAAAAATTAAAACATTCAAATATAGGTCTGCAAATCCAGGTGGCAAAGACATCTCGGTAGACCAAAAGACATAACAGGTTTACCACAAATGTGCGTATTGCACCCAAGTGGAAAATGTGGAACACATCTTTCGCAAGAAAAAATTCGTGGTTTGCACCTGGGATTGCATGGAGTGGGCTCTCATTTGTCCATGGCCTTTCGGTAGCCACTGTGGATCGCCATAAAGCACAGTCACGAACGTCTGTGTATGGAACACTGGTGTCGTTGGCTAGGCACCAAGGACACATTTGATTTGGGCTGCAATTGAAATTTCGCTTGGAGTGGTGTGCCCTGGCTTGCGCTGGCAGGTCACCCTCATGAGACACAGTAACCAAATAAAGCCGGCCCATGTCGCCTGCATCAATCCCTTCCCAGTAAACTTCAGCTGCCTGCCGTGCAAGGTGTTCGCAGAGTTCATCAAGCACCGCATTGCCTTTCTCAAACCCTGCGTGAGCTTTTTTGTAAGTTTCATGGCCCATACAGGACCAGAAAAAGTAGCGAGACATGCTGGAAAAGTTCTCATGCAAGACTGGCCCCCAACTAAATTGATAAATGCCTGTGCGGCGAAGGCCCGTTCCCTCATCGCTGTGAAGTTTGATAGGCACGCATGAACAAAGCTGATGGCCATGGTCAACACAGGGTGATTCGGGTAGTAGCGCTGAAAGGCATCCCAAAACTTGGCCAACGTTTGCTGAAATTGAGCTCTTTCGCAAACACTGAAACCAGCCAAAAATTTGGTCGGGTAGTCCGCAAAAATACGCTCTGCCACAGCACGAATCTCCAGACAGTGGTTTTTTTTCCCAATAGTGTGCAGAAACAATTCTGTCAATGGAACGTTCATGAACTCACCAATTCTCAGAACTTGCTGGATGAACGCTTCCTCTTTGTTGGTCTTCAAATCATTGGGAATCGCCAGCTGCTGCACTTCAACGAAACCAGAAATTCCTGGAATCATTGTGTTAGCTTGCCTTGCAGCATGTTTTGCCGCCAACTCAGCATTGTGAGCCTCAGCTTGCACCAGCACAAACCTATTTTTGGTTGAGGCACTCAAACTCACTGTTGGTCGAACCACATTGGTTGGTCCAATTCAAAATTTAAGAGTAGGACAAAGTGTTGTTTTTTGGAACTGTCTCGTGGATTTTTTTGCCACTAGGGCACTGAATCACGTTTATATACATAGTAACAGTGGAATGAAACACAATTGGTTTCACATGTGAAACCATATATGTTTCATTCCGGATTTGGATAGAACAGTATGACAGTGTACGCAAGCTGTTTCCATGCACAGAATAAAACACAATTTGTTTCACTAAATGTGAAACCAATTATGTTTTATTC